GGGTGTGGGGGTTGAGGAGTGTAGCTCAGTCCCTGAATTTAATCCTCGGTACCAAAGTGGGAAAAAAAGGACTGCTGAAGTGACGTATTACTTCTACTCATACTTTTCTAGCCAACACATGTTATATAGTTGCTGTTCACTTCATGTAAGAACAAAATGAACTAAAAATATTTGGTAGACAACATTAATGATTCTCAGCCTGACATTCATAGGTAGGGAAGCAGTCAGGATCCCTCTGTTTATCATTTTACTTTTTAGCTACTTTATTTCTGACATTTTAGGTAAACATTTATAAAAATTAGATAAGGCCACTGCAATATATAGCATATCCAATTCATATGCTGAAGTTCTAGCTCTTAATGTGATGGTGTTAGAAAGCAGGCCTTTGGGAGGGAGGGATTGGGTTGTGAGGATTACTACCTCAAGTAAGAGATTACAGAGATCTCCTTTGCCCTTCCACCACATGAGGACAATCAAGAAGACAACTGACTGTGAACCAGGAAGCAGGCCCTAAACAGACACCAAGTCTGTTGTGATCTCTATCTTGAACTCCCAGCCTTCAGAAATGCATTTATAAAGCACTCAGCTCTTCGTAGGACACCCAGTCTGTGGTTACAGCAGCCATGTAGACCAAGACAGCCACTTATTGAGAATGGACCAGCTATTTAAACTGACCAAGTTGTTGCCTGGGAAATCTTCAGTGTGACTGGACTTGTACAAATTTAAATGGTGGCAAGATATAAATAAGAAATATTAGAGTTTTCCCCAAACTTCTCACCAAGGATCCTCCTTTTATAATTCTAAAAAGGTGATCCTCAGGCCTAACACAGATGATTCCTAAGTAAATTCCTAAGTAAATGGCTTGACCTAATGATTTTTTACAGTGGTGTAAAAGTGATATGCATTCAGTAGAAACTGTATTTTGAATTTTGATTTTTTTTTTCCTGGACAGCTCTATGGGATAAGATGTTCTTCATGATGCTGGGCATCAGCAGCAAACAGTAGCTCCCAGTCAGCCACATGATCACCAGGGGAAATAAGCTGAACTCCGTCAGTATTTTGTTGCGGCTAGGGTGGTCTGTAGGTTAGGTGTATTCAATTTACAGTATTGTTAATTTACTGTGGGTTTGGTGGAGATAACTCCCTTATATAAGTCTAGGAGCATTTGTATATCCAGATTTACTAATCATGTCTTGTACTATGGGCACAATCTCTGCTGCTATCTGAGAAATTATTTCTGATTTCAGTTTTTCCAGGTCCTCTTTCATTGCTAGTTCAGGGAGTCCAGGCGGTTGAGTATCAGACTGTTGTCTCGTTTCCCCTTTGGGGTTGCCTTAGGTGATCTGGAAGTCTTGTTTTGAGACTTGTTTACATGTCTTCTGTTTCAACAGATGCAGCCTGTTGTGCTTTTTTTTAATCTCATCCAGTGATCTTTAGTTCTCAGCAAGCCACCAAACAGCCTTTACTCTGCTGCTCCCCAGTACACCAGTTCCCGGGTTCGGAATGGTGGCCTTCTGGATCCCTGAGCTGTCCTGTTGTCTGGGCAGGCTTCTGGCTGGGGCTGATGCACACTTGGGATGGCATCTAGGTGCACCTTTGGCTGGCGCCCTATGTAGCTGTGTCTGGGAGGGCCTTTGACTGGGGCCTGTGTACCCCAGTTCCTGGTTTCTGTGCAATCTTCCGACTAGGGTCTGCACGCACTTATCAGTGGTATTGGAGTAAGCCTCTGGCTGTTGCTTGTGCGCCTTGTAATTCTTTTTCAGGGGGGCCCTTGGCTGTGGCCAGTGGTATGATGGGCCTCTGGTTGCAGTTTGTGTGCCGATGCAACTCTTTTCTGGGTAGAACTTTGGCTTTGGGGTGTGCCTGTGCCTCTGGGGTCGGGGTGGGATGCTGGCTGGATTCCCCCTGCAGCTGCATCACTCTGGTCCACACAGCTGCTCCCAGGGATCCGCACGCACTTACTGATGGCATGGCCGGCCTCTGGCTCAGCGTCTGTGTATCAAGAGCAGGGAGCTCACTCACCTTGCCCATTTCTTTTCTTTAGATAACACCTCCAGGTTTCTTCTGTAGAAATAACCTTTCAGCATTGAAAGGACCTGCACTAAAGGGACCATCAGCCAGGTGACTCTATGGCCACATGATGCAAGTCAGGCCAATCAGATCCTCTACATGGAATCCGAATTTTGACTGGGGTGGTGGGGGGGGCACAGATATTTTTGAGCTCTCTTTCCTGGGAAAGACACTCAGAGGGGACTGTGCAGGAGTACCTGAGGCTGAAACCTCAGGAGCAATCTTGCTCTGTCTTCTTTGGGCCTGATTTCATGGCCCACTCTTTACTCTGTGAGCTCCGCCTCACCTAGCTAATGAATGAATTCCTCTTTTTCTTATATTAATCGGATCTGGTTTTGAGGCTTGTGTCTGCCTGATGCATACACTTAGTCCAGAGCACCTACTTGACTGAAGGTGCCAGCAAATCTTTCAGAAAGATCAAGTGTCCATTAGAGGGAGAGTTGGGAATCAGTAGACACATAGAAAACAGAGCTAAAGAGGATCTCGCTGGCCTTGTACAACCACAGCTTAGCCAGAGAGTGCTGGATCACCAACACCAGTTCATTGGTGCATGCTCTTATCTGGTCATGATTCCAAGTCCATCAAGCAAAGTTAGGCACATAGTTCATACCAATTGTCCAGCCATTGATGACTGTACCATACCCACTTTACAGATTAAGAGGCTAAGGCTAAGACTGTGAACCTGCCAGTGGGCAAGTGCGGCATTCAGTGTAGGTCTCACTGTTATCTGTGACTTCTAGGAGCTGGCAGATTCACTTGACAGTCACAATGGTCGTGGGAACTGGAAGCCCCCTGAGGTAGTCAGGGTTGGGAGCGTCCAATTCCCAAGTGTCTGACATATTTCAGGTGCCTGAGACATGTTGACCTGGCTGTTCATGAGCTTCACTTGGAAATGCCCCTGACCCACTCAGATTGTTCAGTCAGTGTGGTGGGGAGAATTTAGACATCACTTGATCAGGGGCATTGGAGTGAGCCTCTGGCTGTTGCTTGTGCTTCTGTGTAGTTTTTTTCCAGGTGGGCTTCTTTAGACACCCCAGTTGATTCAGGTGTGCAGTCAGGATGGAAAACCACCTAATTAAAGGCAATCTGGTCCAGCTGTTTTTGTGGGATCACCAGAAACCCCATCAGATAGTTGCTCTGACCTTTTCCTAGAAAACCTTTCAGTAGCAACTAATACATTTAAATGCCCCCTCTGGAAAAAGTTCTTTGTGACCCCAAACTTTTCTGATTTTCGCTTAGCCTTCCTTGCTGGCTCTACCTGCTCAACCAGGCCCTTGATATCTCTGAGTCCCTGGCCTGTGTCCTGGCCCTTTGATCTGATCAACTGTCCATGGATTCTTGTAGCTGTAGGCCCCTCCTCAGCTCCAGATCGCCACAATCCAGTCATCATTTGGCACATTCTCTTGGATAGTTCACAATATATTTAAGTTTAGGGCAGCAAGTACAGAGCTCTGGGTCCCCATACCCAAATTTGTTCTCCCAGTGTCACCTCCCTAAGCAGATGTCATGTCTGTCCCTGTTGGTCAGGCACCAAGCCCAGGAGTTATCTTTATTCGGTTCTTTTCCTCACCTTTTCTCCCTTCCTTTACCCCATATTTTTTTCCATCATCAAGCCTCTTTGCTTTACCTTCCAAAATAGGTCGCAACCCCATTTAAACCAGTGTGCTGCCTTCACTCTTGTCCCCTGCAGTCCACACTCCACAGAAAAGCCAGGGCACACTTTTCAACATCGATTAGATTCTGCTCTTCCCTCACTTAAAGCCCTTGGAAGATTTCTCATTGCTTTAAGAGTGAAAATCTCACTGTCCCCAGCCACTCCACAGCATCAGGCCTCAGAGACTGTGCCCTTAGCCCGTTGCAGGGTCCCTCCCGGGTTTTGTCAGTTAGCTCAGCTGCACCAGGTCCCTCCCACCAGGTGAGGAAACTGGCAGGGCTTTGCCTCTGCTTTGCCCTCTTGCGTGGGACCCTCTTCCCTCCACCCTTCACGCATCCACTCTCCTTTCATCTTTCACAGGCAGTTTAAATGTCATAGGAACGGCCTCCCTGGTTGCTTCAGTCACTCCTTACACCTCTGTTTGCTCCTGGAATGGTTGGTGGTTCCCATTTAAATGACCAAAATTTCTGGCTGTCATTCTGTTGTTTTGTTGGCAACTCACTCATTGTCTTAAGAATCAAACTCATGACAGAGATGAAAAGCTACATATGGTGGCCTGCAGTGATAGCTTCCTCAGCTCTGGGAAGCTCCCACTTGAAATGTGAGGATAGAAAACAGGAAGGCCAATCTTGCCACCAGGTCACTCATGGGCTACTGTGTGTTGTTCACTGTGGCAGCTATAGCCCTACGTCCAACAGGGTGGCTCCGTCATCCCCATCCTGTGGGCATTCTCTGCACTGATGCCGGTAGCTTGCTGACACCATCAGGGCCAGTAATGTGGTTAATGCTGGTGCCTGTCAGCTGGGCAGGGAGACTCGGCCCTTGTGACCCACTATTTCTAAAGAGCTTCTAGGTGCAGGGCCCACTTAGCTCTTAGGGGAGCTGTGGCTTCTTTGATGAGATTAAAGAAGCTGCCTGAAAAATAAAAAAGACAGGAAACAAAGGCAAAGAGGATGGACGACCCAAACTGTATACAGCGGCCAAGAAAGAGAAGCCTATACTTCCCAAGGATGGGCCCGGTGCTTGGCTACTCCCCTGACCATAAATGGCTTTGCCAAAGCTCCCTGGGAACCACCTCTTGCCCTCCCTCTCCGGCTCTCCCCGTTGGACGTTCCTATGAATGGGAGACACAAGCAAAACACCAGCACGAAAGGAGCTTGCAGTATCTGGAGGAAGTTCTTGGAAGGCTGCTGGAAATGGTGAGTGAGAGCTAATCTTTTTTTTTTTTTTGTATTAACCTTCCTTTGTCTCTATAAAAACCAATTCCTAGGCCTTTAAATCACAAGTCTCTTAATACAATCAAACTCTGCCCCTATACAAAGAAGTGAAGTGGCTTGTTTTTTAATTACTTTCTTATGTGAAAGATAGTAATTAAAAAAAATTCCCGTTTATTTGCTGGTCTCATCTTTTATTTTGATATAAAGATTTTGTTTTTAACCTTATCCATACAAAGGCACAGAGGAGATGTTCCAGGTACATTCATTTCCTGGTTGAAGCCATAGGTCTGATCATAATTTTATCTTTCCTATTTGTTCAATCTGTCATCTGCTATATTATCAGCAGCATGGATGTCCACACATTGCATCAGAAACTCTCCGCCTTTCTTACTGACTTATGATACATTTTGACTTAATCAAATAGTGTTTGCTAGTTAGGGGGGAGAACAGAAGGGGCTTCTATCGTTGCTTTATTAAAGGAATATGGAACCAGCGTGGTGTTTTCTCAGTGGATGAATGACTACAGAACTGATATTCCACAGCCCAGATGGACCTGGAGGGCACTATTCTCAGGGAAATAAGCCAGACACCAAAATAAAAATACAGCATGATCTTATATGTGGAATGTAAAAACAAAGGAAGATTATTCAGAGAAGAAGCTTTGGAGTTAGGAAGATCTGTGATTTAACCTGATCTCTACCACTTACAGCCTGGTGACCTAGAGAAACCTATCTTGTTCTACACTTGTGATGTCGTAATAATAACTTTCCCCTCATACGGAGGTTATGAGAACAGCATTGGTTACCTGCACACCCTCGATAACAGCAAGTTATTGTCCCATCTCTCCCTCCTTCTCCTCACAAGCAGCAAACTCCTAATAAGAGACACTTAGCCCCTATGAATCTCCAGGCGCCTTTAGAATCATTCTCAAGGATTGCACACAGCTCAGACTAATAATAATAAGCATCCAATTCTGGAACATTGAATATTGCTAGTTCGTGCTTATAATTCCTTACAATAAAACTTCTCAAGAGGTTTCCCTATCCTAGCTCTGTGCTGACCAGCCTCAAAGAACAGGACGCCACGTGATCCCACACACCCCACGCTGTTTGACAGCTCTAGAAGCCGCCACAAATACCATATGGGTGGAGCAGGCAGGTCAAGCTCCTAGTGTCTCATTTCAAGGATGGAAAAACTCAGCCTGGGAGAATAGATTTGCGGTGAGGTAACGGAAACCCAAGATTCTGAGTGATTTATCTACACTTAGCCCAGATCAGATGGCTCTAAGCCCAGGGTTGCTTTACTCCACCAAGCTACATCTCTAAAGGGCACTGTATCGTGTTTTTCTCCCCATGAGAGCACTGTACTGTGGAATGTCTTACTGAAATTAGCCAAAATCTTCGTCATCCAAATATTGATAAACAATGCATGCAATGGCTCACTTGTTGTTGCTTCTCCTCTCTGCTGTCCACCCAAAGAAAGCTTTGTCTTGGGTCTGCTGACATCAGTGCCCAGTACTCACTGATGAGATAAGCTTTGGGCAGCTGCAGCCAGAGTCACGGCCACCAAAGGTCATTGTGGCACGTGTTGGCTCCGTTGGCACAACATAAAGGGCAGAAAGAGGACCCTTAACTAAGAGACCCTGGCGTGCCCCTTGCTCTAGCACGATTTGGAAGAAGAGGTGTACCACGCCTCTAACTCATCTGTAGAAACTGCTGGAGTGTTTGGAAGCCCTGTGGAGTGGTGGAAAGAGGCTGTCACCAGAAGACCCTGGTTCTTCTGACCAGTTGTGTGGGCTTTCATGGTTCATTTCCATTCTTGAGAGATCTTTGTAGAAGGTGTTTTGTTGCTAAGAGACAGAGAAATGGGCAAAGTTACCATTGAAGTATACAGGCTGGATGGGGCTATCTTGCTTAAAGGACATAATCTTTGAGAGAAGTAGACATTTTAGGTGCTTAAAACATTCTCGATTCAGAGGAAATTTTCCCTTCATCAATCCAACTGAATTCCAACTCACCACTGAGGAAGCCAAAATAAAGGTTTCATCAGTTTTGTGCATATCGGGACTGTCTGCTCTATAACCATTTTCAGGTTGGATCTGGGTCATATAAGTCAAGTTTATTTGGCTTATTTCCAGAGTGAAGCTCTAGCTGTTCTCAGTTGTCCATGAAGTCATTTCTGTTGAGTCCCTGAGTCTCATTTTCTGCCTGCCAAAAGAGGCTTTGAGGTGTAAAATTGCTTTTGAGACACATCAGCTGTGAAATGTGCTTCTTTAGGATTCTTCAGTCTTTCAAAATATTCCTATTGGATAATATTCAATAGTGTTAAAAATTTAGCAAACCTGTAGTCTCAGAAAGACAGAATTTAACCTTGGAGAAGATTAAGCCATGAAATGTGGCCTGGTCCTGCTGATCAGGCAGGCTGGGGCTGAAGGAGGGCTCAGGTAGGTGGCCACTAATCCAAGAAGCAGAGTCTAGGAAGTTAAAATAGGATCACTTCAACCCAGGTGAACCAGGACCAGAAAGTGTCCCTGACTGTACCAGAGCCTTATCTACCCATTACTCTCATTAGGCGGGGAAAAGACTTGGTAAAGAGAAACTTTGGAGAGAAGCATCAATGAACCCAAACTGGATCAATAGTATGGGAACAGGGAGCAAAAACAGGCCACTGGTTGGGTCCAGCGTGGCCCAGGTAATCAGGCATCCTATTTGGTGCCCTGCTGAGTTCCACTCTTTAAATATTGAGTCCACATGTAGGAGAGAAAGGAGATGGAGGGGAGGTACAGACTGGTTACTTCTCCCCTGCCATCCGACCAGTTCATCTCTAGCTCGGACTGGGGGACAAACAGAAATCTGGTCTTTTCCAGGTTAATTTTCCTGGGACGCTCTCACAGTTCAGGTGTTAAACCGTGCCTCTTGGGGGGCTTACCTACACCAAGCAAAAAATACTGCATAAATAAATTCACCCAGTGCTTGGCCTGAACGGACCTCAGGAGAAAGAAAATTTCCAGTACTTTGCTGAGTTCCTGGTGATGTTTCTCTACTGCCTTTGTGGATTAGGGCCCATTAGGCCAGGGCCTTACTGGCTGGTCCCCTAGTCTAACTCGTACCGGAGACCTGAAGGAGAAGGGCCAGTACTGACTTGTTGCTGAGGGAGAAGCTTCAGATGACTTCGGGCATTTTTACTCCCCCTCCATTTTCTGGGGCCAAGACTGGAAGCAGAGATGGGGGCTGGTAGAATCTATCTATGGGAACAATAAATTTCCGTGAAATTCTCCAGGCTGATAAGTTTAGGGGAGGTGTCATGACCTGCAGCAACCATTCCTAGGAGTTTTAATGCTTTCTTCTCTTTTGCAGGGTTTTTCACTAAACTTCACACTGCCAGCTAACGCGGTGAGTACACAGAACTTGTTCAGACAGGGCAGAAAGGTCCAGGGTGAATTTACATGAGAATTTTAGAACTTTGTCCCACACACTTGATGTACAAGGAGTGATATGTTTATGGTGAATATTTAATTAAAAAAAACTTACTACTGTATCATACACATTACCAAGAATTATGGGCTAAGTGTGTTTGAAGTGAGGGGGGAGTATTTTTGGGGGGAATTAATGGCAAAGTGTCTTTTGTTGTACTAATTTTAAAATGTAAATATTCACTGGGTTTTATTTTGTTTTGGTTTTTTTTGAGACAGGGTCTCACTGTGTGGTTGAGACTGACCTGAAACTCACTATGTAGACCACGCTGGTCTCGAACTCACAGTGATCTTCCTGCCTCAGCCTCTTGAGTGCTGGGATTACAGGCCTGTGCCACCACGCCTGGCCTCACTGTGTTTTAAATGTAAACATTCACTGTATTTAAATATAAACAACTACCCATTATACAGTAATGTCCGACAAAAGCAATGATGAATAGTTGAGGAGTGCTGAGAACAATTTTTCAGTTATAAAAATTATAAATGTACATTTTGAAAAAAAAAATAGAAAAACAAAAAAAAACCCTGAATTCCCACTAGCAGAAAACATTAGTGTAACCCCTTCTATCTTATATGACTTTATGTAACTTTTGACTTTTGTTGTCTTTGTATTATCGTGGTCTTGTTTTACATGTAATTTTATGTCTTAAATATTTTGAACCAGTCTTAATAACCATAACTGAAAATAGCCATGCTCCATTTAATTAAATGAATTATTCTTTAACTATTAATTGTAATTAGGAGTAATTTTGTGATGAACATCATTATAGATAAATCTTGTCTGCATTAAGGTTATTTTCTTTGTAGGTATTCTGTCAGGGGAATGATTGGATCAGCATGAATGAACATTTTAAGGCTCTTCCTTATGATAGTTTCAAATAAGAACAGATTTTTTGTTATTGAAGGCAATAGCTTCAGTCTACAGCTGCATTTCCAGCTTCCATTCTCATGTTTATAGAGTTAGTGCTAACACCCAAGGTTGTTTTCTGGTCAATAAGTATGCCATGAATGAGTGAGGGATTTTCCTGGCCCAGTTTTTTAGTTATTTGACCATGCCAGAGTTTTCGGATAAGTTATATGGTTATTCAAAGAGGAAGTTGAAGCTAGATCTTTTTGACTTGACATGGGACATAGTCCAGAGAGTGGCAGGAAGACCCTTGTAACTCACTGCTGGGATTCTGGTGCCCACAACGGCCTGTCCTGGTCAGCTGTGTCCTAGATACCCTGCCTGGGGTGGTCCCCTGCCTTCTGCTCCTCCCTTGCTTTCTGAACCTCCCCGAATTGCCTCTTCCCATTGTCTGCAGACAGATTTCCCATCCCTTTCCTTATTTGCCAAAGTGTTTCCTTTACTTGCTGCTATGACTTACCCCTGGCTGCTGAAACCCTGTGGGTCCCCTGAAACACAGGCTTTGTCTCATCCTGGATTGGCCTATCATCAACATAACACAGAGAAGCCATCGATGGGGACAGCAGGGGTCCGTGGCTCTGAGGATGTCACGTTTTGAATGTCATCGTGGTGAACAGCTCATTTCTCTGAGGAGTGGCCCTTCTCTGTTTTGAACCTGTGGGGGACCCACCACCCTATTTGCCTAAGACCATCTACTTCAGTACAGAACATCCTACATCCTGGGCAGCAATGGTGGTCATTCTGCCTAGCAGTAGAGTGGAAAAGACTGGGAAAGGGGAGAGGTGGAAACCTGGAAGTACAATTTCTGTAGGGAGTTTGGAGGGTGACATAGACAAGTCGCTCCTTGCTGGGCCATCCTGAACACTTAAGTGTGAAAAACTGAGTTGGGCTGCTGCCTTTGACCTTGAGGCAGGGTAGCACAGTGGGTAGGAGCACAGGTCCTAGGAAAGACAGCTCAAGTCTTCCACATAGAGCTGTTTGACTTCACACAAGTCACCTCACCTCTCTGTGCCTTTCTCTTCTCATCTGTAAAATGGGAACCATAGTCCTGCTTCACTGGTTATTTTTTTAAAAACTTTAAAAATTTTTATTAGTATATGTTTGCAGTACATAATGATTACATTCATCATGGGGAGTTGGTGCTTGTACATAACACATCTTAATTCTTTTAAGTTCCTCTTCCTTCACTGGCTGTTGTAAAGAATAAATGAATCAATATGGGAAATGTTTGAATAGCCTGGTATATATTAGTTGCTCCATAAGCATTAGTTGGTATCATTAACAATTACTCACGAGAGCAGAAAAAGTTATATATATGTAATATATGTGTGTGTGTGTGTGTGTGTGTGTGTGTGTGTGTGGAGAGAGATGTGTGTGTGAGAGAGAGAGAGAGAGAGAGAGAGAGAGAGAGAAAGAGGGAGAGAGAAAGTGAACATGTAAAGAAAGGCACAGAAAAAAAACTGTGCTTTTTAGGAGACAGAGAGAGAGAGAGAGAGGGGTGGCTTCATTCTGACAAGTTCCCCATTCCGGCCTCTGGTTCTACCTGGAAAACAAGCTTCCTACCTGTTCTTGAGCTCCGTGAGGTGCATTCACATCCTATGTTATCCTCTTCCCTATTTAGTTTAGTTTTCTCTTTTTGTCAAAGCCAGCCCGAGTACATTTCTGCAGCTGAAAATAGAATATCATACGTTAAATGATAGCTGGCTCTTTGCACCACCCTTAAAAATAAAACATATAAGATAGATGCAGGGTTAAAGTAATATGGGGGTGGGGTGAGGAAATTATGTTTAGGTGAAAGTGTAATGTTTAACCACCACGTGTCAATCCCTGGTTATCACATCTCTGTCTTCCTGGTAGAGGCTGGGCATGGAATCCAAACATACAAGCTCAGGTTAGATTCATCGGTATCTGTGGAGTCTTGAACAAGTGCCAAAACTTCTCTGAGGTCTGTTTTGTTTTGCTGTTTCTTTTTTTATTGGTAAAATAGAGATAGTAATTGTTTTTTGATTTTTATTTTTGTTTTTTTGTTTTGTTTTGTTTTGAGACAGGGTCTCACTGTGTACTTGTGACTGACCTGGAACTCACTATATAGCCCAGGCTGGTCTCGAACTTGCAGAGATCCTCTTGCCTCAGCCTCCCAAGTGCTGGGATTACAGGCGTGTGCCACCATGCCCGGCCGATATAGTAATTGTTAAAAGGTTCTGGGACTTGAGATTGCTGAGAGGACTAAATAAATAGCAACCTTGACCAGAGCTTTGTAAAAATTTAAGGGATAACAAAACCCATTACTTCTGGCGCCCATTTGACCCTACAACGACCTTAGAGCATTGTTACTACTGTTCCTATGTAGATGAAGAAATGAGGCTCCTTGGCTTGTGAGTAGAAAAATGAGAACATCATTGAAGGCACTTCAAGCCCAGTATCTGTGCTTTTTTCTGCCCTAGTGCTAGGGATAAAACCCAGGACCATGTACATGCTAGCAAATGCTTTACTACTGAGCTACATTTTCAGCACTTTTAAGCCTACGTGTCACTACAGAGCATAGTTTACGTAGTTGGCTGCTCATATAGAACTCTGTTCCCTTAGAGTTACTTACGAAGGCAAGATTTGCCTTACTATCCCAGAAACGGAGGAAATCCAGTCCCCATCCTTGAGTGATGTGAACCAGAACCACATAATGTATTCATTCAACGTGGTCTTATTTCCAGGAGTATTACTAATTCACAGCTGTGCCACATGCTTCATTATATATTTGAAAAAGCTTTTCTTTAACGGCCTTATTCCAATATCTGTATTTGTTTCCCTTATAGTCAAAGTATTTTGGGAGAGGTATGGAGGGGCAGGGAAAATCTTTTTGAAATGTAAAATGTGTTGTGGAAAATTCACAAAGTAAGTAATAAAGATGTCAATAATAAAGACCTGAATTTTACAATTCTTTTTACTTATAGCCAAATTTCATTTCAGTTCTTACCTGGGAAGCAACCAGACACATTTCCATTTGGTAGTTGTTAATAGTTGACCCAAGGAGTAAAGTTCAGGCATTATATCTTAACCTTTGATAGAATATATATTTCCTGTGTTTTTTTTTTTTTTCATACAGACTTCCTTTCCAGTTGTTACAGATGGGAAAGAAGCAGTAAGTATCACTTAAAGTACCAACCCTTCTCTGCATCCTTTATAAATCGGGGAAAAATAATGGTCTACGTCTCTCATACATTTTTTTTTTGAGGATTAAAATTTGATATTGATTTGTGAATCCCAGAATCCAGAACCTGGCTCAAAAATTATTCTTATGATTGCCTAGGCTCAAAACCAAGGGAGAACATAAAAATCACAGAGAGATTTCACAAAGGACTGAGTAAAAGAAGCCAGGAACAAAAGAATATAAACCTTATATTTGTATTGTGATAATGAAAAACAGACAATACTTATGTAAAGTGTGAGATTTCAGTATAAGTAGTCACACAGAGAGTTGAAGAGAATCTGGCTTATAGAGTTTTATTACTTTTCCATAAAATCATATCCTCAAAAAGGGAAAGAGAATCCAGCATTATATGTGTTATGCATTTATTAGAGATTCTGCAGATTGTCATCAGTAATCCTAGAAAATCTGCAAATCTGAAAATTTCCGTGGCTATAACCATGACTATTTTTACCCAAATCAAAGCAAAGTGGGTTTGTGAAAATCAGTTAATACATTTAATGTAAACAACTTAAAAATTGTATCAAAATGGTGTTGGATATAATAAAAGCTTTTACTTTTTCTGGACTGCTAAGTAAACACAGCCTCTAATTGTTGTGCTGATTTATGCCTCAGCTTCTCCTGTGTTGAGACATTAGTGTTTCTGTTCCTGGGAAAGCTTCTTCAGATCGGTTTGTCCACTTTTCTACTAGATTATCACTCTTTCCAGTGGACTTAAACAACTGGGTGTACACCTGTAACCCTTTCACTCTGACACTGAGGCAGGAAAATTGCAAGTTTGAGCATAGCCCAGATAACTCAATATTTTAGCAAGACTCTGCACCTAAATAAATGGCTGGGATCATGTGGTTTTTGTCCTTGACTCTGTTAATATAGTGACATTTCTCAGACAAAGAAGTAAAAGCAGCAAGTAAATATATGAAAAAATGTTCCACATCACTGGTCATTCGAGAGATGAAGATGAAAACAACACTGAAATTCCACCTTACCCCCAAAGAATGGCTGCTATCAAGAAATCACACAATAACAAATGTTGGTGGGGTTGTGGGGAGAAAGGAACCCTTCTCCATTGTTGGTGGGAGTGCAGACTGGTGCAACCACTGTGGAAATCAATATGGAGATACCTCAAAGAGCTGGGACTAGAGGTTCCATTTGACCCAGACATCCCTCTGCTGGGTATCTTTCCAAAAGAATTAAAAGAATCATACCACAGTGATATATGCACACACATGTTTATAGCGGCACAGTTTGTAATAGCTAAAACTTGGAAATAGCCCATTCACCCATCAGTTGGAAACTGGATAAAGAAGATGTGGTTTTTCTATAAAATGGAGTATTACTCAGCCATAAAGAATGAGAAATTAGAAACATTCATAGGAATATTGAGGATATACTCCTAAGTGAAATAAATAAGTCACACATGTAAATACCAAGTAGTTTCTCTGGTGTGAAAAACTATAATAGTACAGAAGATCCTAATGATATAATTGACAATGTGAAATAGGAAGCAAAGGGCTAAAGGTAGGGGAAATGGAAAGGCTAGGGGAAAGTAGTAAGGGAAAAGAAAAAATATGAGAAAATGAAAAAATGGAAATAAAGTATTTGTAAATGGGGAGGGTAGGAGCAGGTGAAGAGAGGGCATGGACAAGGGAAAAAAATGAGAACCAAGACCTGTCATGTAGAGATACAAAATCCCAATAATGAATGTAACTGTACTGTATACCTAAAATGTACCAATAAACTTGATGAGGAAAAAAAAATACAAATGAGCTCCCCCGCAAAACAAAATATAACAGCAATCTCCATAATAAAAATAGAAATAGAGAAAATTCAAAATATTGATTTTTATTTAGTTATTAACAGATCACATAAATTATTAAACTTTGTATTCAATAAAGAATAAGCATCCTTTTTTTCAAAGATGAATTAAAACTTACAATATTTATAAAACAAATTCTGGCATACAAAAACTGAAAATAAACTATATGATTCAAAAGTTAAAAAAACACACAAAAAAACCCCAAAACCAAAAAATAAATGGCCAGGAATGCACCCCGGTGTGAAGTCTCTGGCTTCATTCTCCAGTACTACAAAGAACAAAAATAAACAAACAAAAACTACTATGTAAATTAAGTCCTAGGACAGCAAGTCATTTGTTATATATGTTAAAAAGTTTTTGTTTTCCACAGTATTTCATTTCTTTTGATTTGGTATATGACATGTATAGTCTGTGCAGATTTTTGTTTTATTTTTTAATCTATTAAAATTTTCCTTGAGTAATAAAGAATCTGAACTTCCCCTGACTCTGTTTTTCTCTCTGTGCCAGGACTGTGGGCCCTCTGTTGGATTAGCAGCAGGCATCCCATCCTTGGTGGCCACAGCCCTGCTGGTAGCCTTACTATTTACTTTTGTTCACCGAAGAAGAAGAAGAAGCAGTGAGTCCGCTGAGGTGATTACCAGGTCTTTCAGATCTAGATATGTAGTAGGAATCAATTTTCAGTTAACTGGCTTTTGAGCTTAAAGTATCAGAATAGAGGGTCGGTGTTATTGCCTGAGGAAAATGTGGTAGAAGTCCCTATGCCGTATTTCCTTTTCAGTTTCAGTTTAAATTCTGCACCAGAAAGCCGATTTGCATACAACTCGCAGGTCACGTGAGGATATTCCTGGCAACAGATGGCATGTTGGGTGACAACAGTAGTGGAAAGGTGTTTGTTGACATGGCAAACATGTCTGTACAGTGAGTGTATTTTCTAAGTTGAGGGGGAGAAAACAGCCCAGAGTTCACACAGAGCACAGAAGTGAAGTTAGAAAAGATAAGAGACAAGTACCTGGGGGAGGCAGGGGTATGTCCAGACCACATCTTTTCCCTGTGGTCTGAGCATTCAGAATTTACAAAGGAATGTCTATCTATCCCTCATCCTCCAATGCTAGATCCCTTGGGTGACCATTCCCATGCAGACCAATATCCAGCAAAGCTCTATGGTTATTACTGAACTGTTTTAAGTAGGCTCTGGGTTCTCATTTCATATTCTATTTATAAATATACATGGTTGCTTTCACACTAGTGAGTGTTAATAGAGAGATACAAAAGCTAGCTTCTAATCCTGGCTCTATCATTTTATGATTTACATGGTTCTGGACATGTAACTTAACATTTTCTATGCTCTTGTCAGTTCAATTAAGAAACAGCTATCAGCCAGGCATGGTGGCACTTGCCTGTAATCCTAGCACTTGGGAGGCGCAGGGATCATTGTGAGTTCAAGGCCATCCTGGGCTACACAGTGTGTTCAAGGCCATCTGACCTGCATAGCAAGATCTTGTGTCAAGAAAACAAAACAAAACAAAACAAAAACCCAGAAAACAACAAACAAAAGCAGGCATCATGAAAAGCTGTATCTCAGCGGCAGAACACTTGCTTCCCTTTTCCTTTTTATTCCATTCAGGCTACAAGCCTATTGGTTGTGCCACCCTACCCAGGGTGGCATTATCTACACCCCAGAGCTATTTTAAACCAATCAGTAGACTAAATCCACTTATCACATTCATGATCCAATACCACACATCCATGATCTAGCCTCCTCCCCAAAGCCCCACCTATGTGCACATGAAGTTTTGGTGGAACATTTGGATGTAAGCCACGACAACAATCTCATATAAAGATGTTTGGGCAACTTGTAAACTTTAAACATATTAAGAAGTATTGTGGGGCTGGGGATTTAGCTCAGTGGTTCCGGTGCCTGCCTCCAATTGCAAGCACTCGAGTTCAATCCCCAGTACCACGGGAAGGGCTGGAGATTTAGCTCAGTGGTGCCACTGCCTGCCTCATAAATGCAAGGTACCGAGTTCGATCCCTGGTACCAAAAAAAAAAAAAAAAAAAAAATTGTGTGAAA